CAGGATACCTCGGGGTGCAGGATCACGATTTAAGGGTCTGATGTCCACAGTGCACGCAATTTTAAGCACAAAAGCCATATGGATAAAGTAAAGGAAAAACAAACAATATGCGTGAATTGCTGACAAAGAAGCGTGTAGCTGGTCGCTACAAAAACGTAGAAGTAATGAAGTCATCTGAGTTTGTCGGGTTTTTTGTGAACCATTGCGTTTCGCAAATAACGTAAAAGATACCACCAATGGCCCAAATTTTGTATCGTGCATGATAAACAGCACTGCCTTCTTTATGATTTTGAGGCAGACCGTGTAGGAATAGTTCAGGAAACACATCTGTTTTTCGAGAACGTGTAGCCAAATAAGAAAACCAAGCGAGGTAAGAAATAATGTATCGATTGTGTTGAAATAGCATGTAATCTAGTCCAAGAAAAGAAGTATCGTGGATTGGGTGGGATTGAACGTTCTGTCTCCTGCACACCAATGAATATTTTGGATGTATGTTAGTTAAAAAAACAAACATGGAAAATGTGATGTTAGAAAATCGGTTAGTGTATCAGTTTTCAGCTGAAGAAAATATAGAACCCTGGTGAAATTGCGCAAATTTGGACTTTCGCAGATGAATAGACGACACTCTGCTGGCGATCATCTCTGAGCTAACAGTACCCTCGGTTACAAGTTTCACAACCTACAAAAACGAAAAGAGACATTCTGAGATGCATCAACGGGAACTCTGTTTTCTTCGTTCGGACGACTACAAATCACCAAATAAATCGCGGTCACGCAAAGATGCGCCACAAACACTCGACACACTGGATTTTAGGTCAAACAAAGATGAGGACAAGATGTAAGAAAATGTGATGCACCTGGGGACGTTAATACTACTACCCGAAAAATGCTGCGAAATCACGGGTATGAGCCTTATCCCATTTTCCCACCTCTACCAACTGTAACGACGAAACATTGTGCACTAGTAAGGATTTTTATCCAACTGAACGTCTCTCTGTAATAGGAAAGCAAAACCAACTTGGTAGTCAGAACTGTCCTGGTACCCAGACAAGTAAATCATGGAAGCTCTCAAGCTCAACCTACTGCATAGAATCCACGGCGTCATATAAAGACAATACATTTTTGAATGGGTGATACTTAGATCATTCTTAGAAAAGAGGTTATAAGATGAATCATAATTGACGAAATTTCTTGATTGCCTCTCCACACAAAACGCAGGCCGCAAATTTTTTGCATTTATCCCGACCGCCCAATGTTTAGTTTGCTCAAACGTCCGTAAAAGAAAACCGTAATTGCAGAGCGGTGCCTTGTCCTTAATGGGTTATACAAAATAAACATGTTTATATTTTCATTAGAGAAACTACTCATAAGGTTGCTCAAAACTCTTTGACAGCTCACGACCGGTTTCGCCCTTCTTGGGGATCAGCAGGCAGACGCGGTCCCCTACTTTCCGTCAACGAGAGATTCAGTTGAGCCTCTCGTGAAAACCGAATTGATTTGCAAATTAGTATATTTCTCGAAAACATGTTTATACTTCGTTCACTTTGACTGATTTAACCGTAACAGTGCACTGGAAAGCTTGGCTCAAATTACATCTGGCTTCATCCCTGGTGAAAGGAAGAAGGCCTTTGCTGCGGAGTTATTTATTAGAAAATGCCAACTGACAAGCTACAGACTATTGAACAGGAAAGCGAAACTCCCCTGTCGTACGCTTTTCCTTCAAAGATATCAGTATCCATTTTCCATTATTTTTAACGGTTTATGCCATTCTAGTTAAATATATGGTCACAAATGATAATACCTGCGTGGGCCTCCCTCTGAGGATCACTATTTACTTGTCCACAAGTTTCATCAAAAAGGTTGTTCCCAAGTGTGTAAAATCAAGGACAAATAAGATGGGACTTCTCGTGCTTCTGTTTAAAGGCTCTGGAGCACTCGGGAATCTTGTGAAACAAAATGTGATAGCACTAACAGAGTAGACCAAAATATTCGGAAAACGCCTTACAGCACCTTGGTAACCGTTATAACTAAGATTTCAGAGTGCCATTTTCAACATGCTCCGTTTTTTGTCACCAACAGCTGGCAGTAAGTTCTGCAAATCTTTGCTAAGATTCCATATTGGACCCGTGCATATTGTGGACATTTGAATAGCAGCTAACATGCTCCGTTTTTTGTCACCAACAGCTGGCAGTAAGTTCTGCAAATCTTTGCTAAGATTCCATATTGGACCCGTGCATATTGTGGACATTTGAATAGCAGCTGGAACTTGCGTGTCCCCCCCCCCCCTTATACCAATGTCATCTCAATCAGCAAGACTGGAAGAAACACAGAGTTAAATGAGTTGAACAAAACAAGGTTATTGATCCTCTGCGTCAGACCTCTGCAACAGCCAGGACTGTATTTGTCTACCAATCCGACCAAACGGAAATGATACTATCAGGTTCCCTGTCAAATTTTACCTAAACAGAAGCTATTTAAAGTAAGACTAGGACCTCAAATGGACTTGAGTCCACCGGAAAAACTGGTCACTACGTTACCAAAGGTAACCAAAACACACATTGTATTTCAGAACATCTTGCTGAGTTAGGGTGGACTGTAAACTGTTGTTACTACGATACTGGCTAGACAGTATCAATTTCGTGATTGCACAAACAAATCACTGAAAACACTCACATACATAGTACCCAGAATCTCTCGTCCAGATAAAACCACCATTCGTGTTTCTTTCAGACGAGCTATGTGATTAATTACACTAATAAATGGAAAATATGAAATAGTTATTCAATTCACAGGGTCACCAAGTGTATCGTGTTTTTTCGGTGTTGGTTTCTTTGACAGAATCAATCGGTAAGTAAACCAAATAGTTCCATCGATTAAGCCTATGAATGTAATTGCCATCTAGTTATGTTGTGCAACGGGTAATTGGTTTTAACCATTTATATGCAAATGAAGTAGTAGCCTTCCGAACTTTATTCTGGGTGATTTTAGGTTATCTCCAGATATACCTGATCTGTTTGTAATAGTTTCAAATAGGGCTTCTGTCAGATGTAACCAGCTACCTAAGGATTCTCTCCAAAGCTGAGAGCTGTGTGCGACCACCACGAAGCATCCGGCGGAAACTACTTTTATACAACTTAAAAAGGACCTCTAATTCATACACATGTTTTAGCCTGTTTTCCAAGTTTCAACTCACCCCACATGAAATTTTACCCCACTGTGATCGTCAACTTAAGGTGCAAGGATCGTGCACTCTGTGTGGAAGAAGAGATCATGAAATTTTCAGTTTACAAATACATCTAGATGAATGCGTCATCATTTAAGAAAGCCCACATAGTGATGGTTAAACTATTAAAGCTAACAAGAACCGCCCATCCGGATTCTCTAATAAAGTTATCTTGCGCAATAATTAGGAAAAAGCATACTTTTCATATAAAGATCACCTTCTGAAGAGGTCATTTAAAATCCGTTTCCACTGTTTGCAAAACTCCTAGCTTCGGATCTTTGCCCCATGACGTGAAATTGGTTTGGAAACCTCCTTTTAGAACACTTACTCCCTTCAATTACCTTGAAGCATAAACTTGTGTGAGAGCGGTGCAGAATTGCGAAACTAAAGGATTGCTTATCGGATTACCAGTTTACAAATTTTCTCATTTTCTACCTTTCATTGCTGGAGCTGCCGGTCTCATCACCAACAAGAAAACCAATTGCTTGGGCACAGGGTCCATAAGATTACACCCCTTAGCCCAGAAACTAATTCGCTTAGCTCTTTCCCAAATTGGTAGGTTTTCATTGAAATGGCGCCATTCTGCTCGCACTCACGAGTAATGTGAGGCAAATTGAAATAAATAGAACAAATGTGAAGGGCCATTTGAGCACTCCCATATCACTGGCTGCGTTATAAGTGGAATACACTGCCAAAATATTTCCATAGGGGCAATTTACGCGAAAAAGTGTGGGGAGACACTAAACGAGCAAACCGTAGTTGATTAAAAACCGAAGTTAATTAACCGGGACAAAATCGTTTCTCTTACGTGGCTATTAGACGTCAAAACTGAGAGGATTCACAATACAAAATTCACACGCGGTTCCTTCATATATGAATTCTCTTCGTATAATACCTCATCTCAGTCACCTGGAATCTCTCCATTCTAGCAATAATAGACTGACTTATTAGATTTCAAGTTTTCTCAAGCGAGGGAATTAGTCCCACGTGCCTCAGCATGAACGGCGATGTCTCCATTCTGTAACACTGAGCATGCACACTGAGGCCACGCACATTGTGGGGAAATTTAAAGTCTCAATAGAAACACAGAGTGGGGTATGGCAATTTCTGTATCATTAAACGAGTAAAAACTGCTGATTGTACTGTCAGATTTAAACAAGAAAACTGGAGTTGAACAAAAACCACTTGACTAAACTTACAGGTATTTACTGGCAACTCGTCCAACAATCTGAGCAAAATACTGAAATCATCAAGCTTTAGGATGTCACGTTTATCCAGAAAATCGCGCGTCCTAATGCTGTGAATCGTGTATCTGATTGTATGACCACACTTTCAACTTATCAATTTATGGCACCGACTATTCTAAAAATTAAGGCAGCACGTTTCCGCGCGAGGCCTGGAATAATCGTAGTTTGAAAACGAAAGTGGCAAAGTGATGTGACTCTGTTCAAAAAAGGCTTATGCGTCAGACGTCATCCCCAAGTGACTAACACACAAACGGCTGTGAAGGAAATTATCCTCAAGGTTTAGAATAATCAGCAACGCCATACGTCCCTAAAAAATGCGGATTAAGTGACAAAAAATTAGAAGAGAGAAATATCAGGAACAAAATCTAGAACAAAATCTGGGAACAAAATCAGATGCACGCCTAACCTTACCTGCAAACTATGTTATCTGGTGCTCTCAGATTATTTAGTTAAATTTGCCTAAAATAAAATACAAAAGCAAAAAAATCTCTATTCACGTTTTAAATTGTTTTTTTTTTCGCTCTTTATAGCTAAAGGTGAGTAGATCTTTCACAAAAACTAGTTTGCATGCCCAATTAAAAATATGGCCAAGGTAGATTTGATGAATGTGGAAGCTCGAAACTGTATAGATGTTATAGACAACTTTAGCTACGCAACATATGGTGAAAATTCATTCACGACCGTCTTTTAGACGAAGAACATGATTACAAATTCATCACTGCACCGCTCTGGCCGAAAGCCGTCCACCTGACCTACCGAATAGGTGCTGGATTCTAGCTACCAGCCTCTTCTTGCCGGATTTATTTTTTGCAAAGGGGGCGCGGAATCGATTTGAAGTGGAGAAGCCTTGAAATGATTCTAAATTAGTCGTCATTGTCCTCTGTATTCACAAGGCAAACACCAGCATTATTTTACGGGATGTTTAAAATCGTTTGTTTGTGTACCAACAGCAGTAGGCTTATTTAGTTACCCTTTAGATTTGGTCACACGCGATTGCCTTTCAAGATCACCTTCTGAAACAAGTAGGAACACCAGTAGCTCTTGCCACGACACTGAATTTGATTCTCACTGATGCACGCGATGACCTAAAGTGAGCCAACTGTCCCGTCCCACCACCGCCTGGCACATCTGGATATATAAAGCAGCTGCAACTAAGCAAGTCAAACGGAAGCCATCGAGCAGAAGCATTGGGAAAACTCAATGAATAAATTCCGCTAAAAGAAGATCCACTATTTCTTGTTTGTTGTGTCTGCTTGCACCCCAACGGATAGTGGCCGTGACTCTGTCAAAGCTAGTCCCTATGAAGCCCGGGGTATCCTTTCACAATGGACCAAGTTTCTTACAATGCAATGAACGGACACTTCAACTGGATGTCCGCAGACAGACGCCCTCCGGTTACACTCATAATCCGAATCAACAGGTCACTTTAGCCCAGGTTAAACGCAGTATCAGCGCAGATATGCAGGCATGGTGGATTAGGAAAGTCGAAGAACTGGATGACCTGAGATGTTCTGAAAGTGTACGCAACCGGTTCTGCATCATTAGTTTGGCAGATGCTCAAAGACTCGTCGCCATGAAAACGGTGGGCAACCACGGCAGCTCCATTATGTTGAGTAAACTAATGCTTGGCTTTAATCAACAAATCATTTGATTCGTTTTCAATCCGCATATTGGCTGTCGGCCTTTGTTAAAAACTTGAACAATGTTTCAGGTGCAAAAGCGTTTACTCCCACAAAGTCGCCATCGTGGTTCTTGTCCCGAACGGTACTGATTTTAAAAATGACCCGTGACTGCTTTTCACCTCAAAGCTGCACTCAAACTCTGATCTCAACTGAGACTTCGGCCGCATGGAGATTTCATCGGCCGTCCACTTCCTCCATTTTTGTTTGAGTCCATGGTGAAATAAATAGTGAGGAAATGCCAAGCAAAACTCCGGAGAACCATTCATTTTGTGGTGAAGTTTTTCCATCTGGAGCATGTAGGAAAATCGTTCTAATATTTGGAGACGTCGACTGAGTACAAGCTTTGTCGAATGAGCTGGTGACCATGCCTACCAGCTCCTTCGAAACTTATTCTGCGGGCCGAAGAAAGGCATTGAATTTGTGTGGAAGTTTGCATGTCCGTTCAAACTGACGAGAATTTTTTGAAGAATGCATTGACCTCGATAGCCAAAGTTATGATCACAATTTTTGTCATTTTTGAGGTCAAAACATAGCTCCCTCGTTGCATGTAATGGGCTGACTGCTCCTTTGGTTGCTTAGGATCGCTGCTTGTATTGGATGGCAATTTTGTAACGATGCAATTAAAAAACGGAGGTTTGTCAGCTTGGAAGACGCTTGAGTTGCTGAACAAATTTGTCACTACTAACTGTGGAGGCTGTGTCACGTGTTTCGCATGTCAGATCAACGTCTACCGGGACGAGTGTTGTACTTCATATCTCCTATATACTCGCGCCAAACACCGTGTCGCCCCTCTCAAGGTAGCACATTTGACTGCATAGTTCTTTCAAATATCAAATGGGTTGTTATTCCTCCAATGAAACTATCACTTTCTTGATGATTTTCCTTCCAAAAGAACAGCGGTATCGTCGCTTAGTTCCGAAGACCATTTTTGCATACACATACATGTCTAGAGTGAGAAAAATCAATGTTAATGGAGCAACGTAAGGAGGTATTTCTGACTATCACCACCCAAAGAGACAGCCAAACTCTTGGGTCACTTAGAACACCCGAACTTCTCATCAGAGAGTGCATAATGCACCCCCTAAATGTCGACATTCTTCCTCAGTTTCTTGATCGTGGACACAGCTTTTATAGACCACAAAAATGTCTCTCCTAACCAAATGTTATGCAGGTATTCATGCCTGCAATTCCCATCCCCACAAGGTCATGGATCTGGAGTTGATCTGCCTGATTTATAACGTGTTCTTCTTACACGCCGACAATCGATGAGGTTTACAATCCTGTGACCTTGTCTAGCTTGTTTGCCGATTTCCCAGGAAGATGTCGCTTCCAAGGAAAACAAACCTCACGAAAATTTGTGGCAAAATTATTCCAAGTCAGCACTCAATGAAGTGCTTTAACAAGGTACTTTCATCCGGGTCACGTGAGACATATGTGAACCACTTTACTAAAGAGGTTGGCAAATAGATATATTTAGTTCTGGAGCTTTGTGTGGCAAAGCTTGGAAAGTCGCTTCCATGTTTCAAACAAAAAGCAAACCTGAGCAATACTTGTGTGGCTAAACCGTCGTGTGTGATAAACGGTTCCTCGTATAATTAGAGCAACATGGGGAAATACTTGTCATGGTTACCACAACAAAAAAGGCTTATGGTTGGACTAACCGCCGTAGATATTGACGGTTAGAACATCCTCTTCTGGTTATGAGCAGTTGTTAGCTCAGAAGTTCTGAGTGCACCCACTCAGAGTTTATGAAGTCCATGCAATCATATTTCAAATGCTGTCTCGAGAAGCCAGATATTTCCTGCATGTGCTTTACTCGAACATCTTTCATGTCTCTAAGGGGTATTTAAAATCACCGGGGCTTCGTGTTTAAACGTGCAGTACCTAAATATGTGGTTATTAAATTACTACTACCCCGTTATAAGACTGCCCTTGTATTGAACCTCACTGTGACTGTTCTTCAAATCGTGGGAGCTTCCTTTGAATTTTGTAGCTATTCCAGGTTCCCTGTCAAATATCGTATTATATTACTCATCTAGCAGGTGGATAAAAATTAGATTTTGTTTCGGAAGATTTTATAAACCATTTTCAACTTTTGCAATTTTTTGTTTCAATGGAGAACGCGATGCAGCAGCACGTACAGTTTTATCCAATCCGCGAACCCCTTTCGAAATGACGTACTTGCATTGTTTTCAACCTTTTGCCAACAAGTCGGTAAGCAATATGAATAACAAACGTATTTCTGCTCATTAATCAAGCTGCTTTGATTATTTATTTATTTTTCTGAATCAAATCGGAAACCAACGCACCGCACAATTGTACTAACCTTCTTAACAGTTATCACTACTACTCTTTTATTTTCGGATTGTTGTTCAAGCTGACGGAAAAAATCGAATGGCTACCACCGGAATACTGTTGGTTAATCAATGAAGCAAGCAAACTTGCGGTTGAAAAGATTCATCTAGTTGGTAAAGTTAAGTTGTCAGAAATATTAGTGTTGCTGACTGCTGAGGTTCCCGATACGGAACTTTGAGTGATGCGTAGGTTCGACAATCCCGAATATCAAAAGGAAGAATCGGGTTCTACGGTACTATTCACACAAGGGTAGGCAAATGTGCACAACAGTTGTTGACGATCGTCGCGTCAACAAGTTCGCAGGTCTGTCAGTGACCGGCACGGTGCCGTGTCAACGTCCGCAAAACAAACAACGGCGAGCGGAATGATAGCTCAATAGCGTGGGTTGCGGCAACCCCTTCCGACAACAGTCTGGTGATTCTCATTGGACGCGCGATCACACGGAACTCATGAGAAAACAAGTCAAGGCACGCTCAGCAAACGTGCCATGGACGCCGGGTTCTACGGTACTATTCACACAAGGGTAGGCAAATGTGCACAACAGTTGTTGACGATCGTCGCGTCAACAAGTTCGCAGGTCTGTCAGTGACCGGCACGGTGCCGTGTCAACGTCCGCAAAACAAACAACGGCGAGCGGAATGATAGCTCAATAGCGTGGGTTGCGGCAACCCCTTCCGACAACAGTCTGGTGATTCTCATTGGACGCGCGATCACACGGAACTCATGAGAAAACAAGTCAAGGCACGCTCAGCAAACGTGCCATGGACGCGAAGGTCAGCAGCGCACATTCACACACAGACACACGTCAATGCACAAGTGTCGGAAAGGACGGCCTCTGCGGCAAGGTGAGTGGAGGGTACTGATTAGTTTAACAATTGGAGATCAAAAGTACATAGGCGGAGTAAGCAAATGAATGGGGAATTTTCCAAAAATTCCCATTTATAATAAGAACACAGATGGGTTGACGAACATGTTTTCGGCAAAGTCTTTCCAAGTCATACAATTG